AAAGAGAAATTATCCCGCATTGCAGGGGATGCAGTTAAGTCTAATAGCCTTGGAAGTGTGTGTGTGTGTGTGTGTATGTGTGTCAGTACTGTGCAGAATATTAGCTGGTGCTTGAATTAAATCAGTCTAACAATGAACCGGTTCCCTGCTTTATAACCAGTCCTTGTCTTGGTGCAAGACATCCCTTCAAACAGGTCACATTCAAGATGAGAAAGCAGGATGAATACATGTGCAGTGATTGGTGAGCAAGTAAGATATGTAAGTAAATAGAAAAGAGCATACACTCCAGCTGTTGGCTCCCATGCCTAAACGCTACCAGTGGGGGATGTGAAATTGCATCAGTAGCTCTGCGGAGCCCTTGCAGAAGCTGTATTGTGTAGTAGATGTTGTGAAGAATACAAAGCAGTGCACTTTCCATTTGTTACCTTCAAGAAACACAATCTATTTGAGAATATAAAGTTAATGTCCAAGGAAAGACACAAGAAGGGAAGGGGATCAGAATGTACTCTTACTGGCTGAGTCAAGCAACCCAGGCAGTGATGAATGCAGGCTTTGTGGGTCACAGACCAAGCCACATACAAAATTGGTCTTAAGCTTAGAAGAGGGAAAGGGTCTGCATGTGCAGTAAAGCTTTGGAGATGGCTGGGCTCTGTGGGGACCAAGCCAGCCAAGGCAGAAGACCCATCTGGGTAGAATTAGTAGGAAGGGCAGAAAGATGGGAGGGTGGGAGAGGGCTCTGAAGGTCATAACTGTTACACATTTTACTTTGTCATAGAAATTCAGATTAAAGATAGGGTGATGAGAGGACCTGATTTATGGATGGTGATACTTTAGGCAGTTTGATTCAAAATATATATGAAGGAACTTGAGGAAAATAATTTTTTACCAGTGAACTTTCACATTAATCCCGTAGTCATAACATGGTTATAAGTGCTATTCTACTTTATTTTGCTCATGTCTTTGGGGGACATTTAAGTGTTTTCCATAGTTCTAAGCATGGCATAGCCACAAGTATGTATGCTGCCTTTCTACTTCATATGATAAGCCCTTCTCATACGTCACTGTGTACTCTGCTGAAGATTTTAGTAAAGCAAGCATAGAGATTGCACGGCCTCTCTGGCTTGTGGATGGCAGCTTTCATCAAGGTGTAACATCTTAAACCACGGAGAGATTATAATGTGCAATATTGACTTGCTGTGTCTGGGAAATTGGTATCATTTGCATTCAGACATTTCCCTGCAGCCACCGGTTCCGTTAGTCAATTAGAAATCCCATAACCCAGTAGTTCTGTAGAGCTTTGTTGATTTCTTGGATGATATGTGACTTGTCGCACACCAGGGCTTCTTCCTGGGCAGGGGTGTCACCCACAGCCGAGGCGGGCTGCAAGGCGGGCTTCTTGGGCCTCACTGTGAGCTGTCTCCACACCTTGGACACAGAGGAGGCAGAGAAGTCAGCTGGCTGCCTGTTGGATTTGTGGGGCTCGCATTGGCCAATTTGCTGGGATTAACAGAGGTCTGGCTTAATAAATGTGTCTGCTCGCCTAATAGATTTGAGTAAATGACCCTTAAAATTCGTGATTTAATTTAACATTGGGCACCAGATACCAAAGCCAATGAAGAACTCAAGAATCCTATTGAGTGTTCCGGCTTTGCTCGGCTTTGAAACCGGCCCTGATGCCATAACTGTTGATGACAAACAAAAGTAATTTGGAAAAGAAAATTAGCCTCTGCCATTTCCTCAGCACGGAGTCTGCAGCCTGCCGCCCCCCTCTGGCTCCTGTCAGCACTGTGTCAGTTGTGTCTCTAGCCCCGACAGGCTGGCAGGATGGCACTCCCCTCACCCTGCAGCGCTTTGCCCGGATTTACCCTGAGCTCCTAGGGACACAGCCAGGTGAACATAAGGTCAAGTCGGCTTGGGCTGCGGGCATTTCAGTCCTTCCAGAAGGGACAGCATGGTCCAGGACAGCACAACCACCTGAGTCTTGAGATCAGAAAAGCACGCAAAGAGAGGCCGTGTCACCACTAGTGAAGGTTTCCCTGGAGAGGAAAAGGCCTGTTCGTGACATGTAGGATGAGAGAAGGGACCATGAGGGCAGTGACCATAGGGAAGGGCAGTGTCCTGCAGTGTGGTCCGAGTCACTCCATAGGGCGGGAAAAGAAAGCACGGTGATTATTCTCCGATAAGTTTCCTAGCAGTTTTTATGAAAATTTTCACACCCACACTAAAGTTGAATTTTGTGGTGAACACCTACATGCCCACCACTCGTTGCCTTTCATCAGCATTCACCGGGCTTGTTCTCTCACGTTTTGATCTGTCCAACCCTCCATCTGTGCGTCCATCCGTCCAACTTTAGATTTTTTTATTCTCTCAAAATAAATTTAAGAAACCTATATACTTCGTCTTAAATGACTCAACTTGTAAATCATTAACTACAGTTCAAAATTCCTGGGCAATTTGCCGTGATGCTGTAAAATGTGTTCATGGAATGCACAAATCCCCTATCCAGGACCAAGCTCTATTATTTTTTCCCAGTTATACTTCCCTCATAATAATTTAATCATACAATATGAGTTGGCTTCTTTATACCATTTATTATATCTATATACTAATATAGTATGACATATACTATATATAATATGATATACAGAATTATATAGTATGTATAACAATTTATATTGTTATATATTATAAAGTTATGCCATTAAAATTTAATCATACAATATAAATTGGCTTCTTTGTATCTTGATGATATTTATATACTATATATAGTATTTTATATATACTATATGTAATATGGTAAATAATGTATATATAACAATATCTATATTATATGTATTATATATTAAAATTTAATCATACAAAATGAATTGTCTTCTTTCACCTCTTGTAGTTTGTGGATCTATCTATATATATTTATATGTACATGTACATATATATGTATCTATAGATACATTCTGCTCATTTGTTTTCTCTATCCATGGTATGAATATACTATGGTCCCTTTATTTTTCTGTTGAATTTTTAGGTTGTTGCAAATACTGCTGTGAGCTTGTTGTTGTTCATGTGCTTTTTCTATTGATTAAATTCCTACAATTGCAATTGCCAAATCATAAAGTATAAAATAGTACAGTCACTTCAGCAAAAAAGTTCTTGAAACTTTTTAAACTAGACTTGTTTCTGCTTGGTTGTAATATTTTATATACCCAGCTAAATTGTGTAAGAGTTCTAACTTGCTCTACATTTACAAGATTACTTGGTATTATCATTTTTTAAAGTTTAGCCCCTCTGCTAGTTGCATGAAGGTAGTTCATTGTTTCTGAAGAACGTGACCCTAGTAACGAGGCAGCCAAAGTCCTCTGACAGGGCCCTGCTGGGCTGACGGAGGGACAGAAATTGCTCTTGATGCCATTCATCGGTCGGTCAATCTGTTGCTGAGTGAGTCCTCACCGATCTTCTATCCCAATCCCCACTTTCAGCAGATCAAGACAGATTCCAAATGGTGACAGATTTGTCCAAGGTCATTCGTTAACACGTAACAGAGACAGAGTTATAAGTCATTGTCCTTAGAGATGGTGACAGTGTGAGGCATTCAGTCCTAGGCTGCTGTGGCTCCCATCCGCCTGCAGCTCCTCCTCCAGGCAGGGCTCCACGCAGCCCGGGTATGAGGGGGTGCAAGGCAGATCTGCCTACACCGCATCCCTGTGTGGTTCCAAGGAGCCGAGTCCTGTGTTCAGAGAAGAACGCTTGGTCCTGGGGGAAGGCCTGGACATCTTCACACACTCCCTTCTTTTAAATTCAGTAAACAGACAAAAAAGGGTGTCCAAAGCTTAAGGCAGCATCTCTAATCTTGCCCAGCACCAGCCATCCACCTGGTTACAAAACACAGCTATAGAACTGTAAAGCAGGAAGAAATCAAATTATTCTTTTGGAGGTCCGGTCAGAAACTGAGCTGGAAGAGAATTTCAGCACTGCAGAGGGAGCAGTGAGCACTGTCTCTGGGAGCCTCTGCAGACCCATGGTGCTTGGAGCACAGCTCACTGCTCCCACCCTTCTGGGGCAGCTGGCTGCGTGGTCACCCACTGCCTGTGGTGGGTTGTCCTGAGTCTGCTCCAGGCGGCGGCCTCTCTGTCTTCCCCTCAGATCAGTCCCTCACTGCTGCGTCTCGCCTTCCAAGCACGAGAGAGCCTGGGCTCTGAGGTAACCGCTGAAGGGCTGGCCCTCCTCTCTCTACACACCTGCTTTGACCAAGGGCCTAATTTCCAGGGAAAATACAGTACAGATTTTATTTCTCTCTGTAGCCTTGAGAAGTCTCATCTGTGATATTCAGGATAGAAAAGGAAAATAAAAATTAAACACAGGGTGACGGTTCTGTTTTTGTGCTGCCTGGCCTAATAAAAATGGTAAAAAAAATGTGTTGCAGTGGAAAACAGACACCAAACAAAAAGTCAATAGTATGACCATGCATCTCATCATACATATTTTATATTACAGACATAAGAGTAATATATATATATATACACACACACACACGACAGTGTGCCTGGAGTGAGGGACACAGAAGTGAGTAAAGTGTTGCCACTTCTCTTTAAGGCCTTACAGGCTAATGGAACACAGGATGAAAATACAGTGACACCAGATAGTGCGGGAGAAGAGAAATGATCTTTTAGTCCCAGAGCCAACAGGAGCAGGTTCCAAACGCTGCCTCTACTTTGCCCCAGGAGAAGGAACAGAATGACATGAAAAGTCTGAAATGTCAGGTCCCGTCTTCATTCTCAGGATTAACAATTTACACCACGTTTTAAGTGTGTGGATATTCTCCTAGACCCTGGGAGAATCATTAGTGTTAGGAAGATGCATGAAGGTTTCCCCTCGGTTTCGAGTCTGGAAACCTTGGGAATCATCTGCAAAGCACGTTTGTGACATCTTGAGATTTGCAGGAAGGAAAGGAAATCCGTGGTCCCACAGAGGACTAAAAGGCCCTGGTTCTTTTCGTCCTGCAGCCCCTCATCACCTTGGACAGCAGCATTTCCTTCACCTTCCCAGCGGAGGGGACCAACACCATCACAGTCCAGGTGGCGGCTGGGAACGCCCTCATCCAGGACACAAAAGATATCGCAGTCCACGGTAAGCCTTACATACTGTCCTTCACTGGTTTCCTCCACTCGTCCCATCAGCAGTGATTCACTGCCGTGGAAATTCCCCAGGCTGTGGGAAAAGCACGCAGGTTCACGAGAGGCATTCAACTCAACCTCCTACCCTGTTCCCGCATGGGGATCCAGGGTATGAGAGCAGCAGAACACAGCAGGTGTTTCTTGTGCCGTGTGGTATGTCCGCATCACAGCCTGCAGGGTTCCCAGTAGATGGGGGAACGTGTGTCAGCAGTTGATGCAATGCTAAGCTGAGATGACCGATCTCCCCTCCTCCTGACGTGTCTGCAATGCACCTACAGCACCCACCCTTTGTGAGCTGGGGACCAGAGATTTCCAAAGCCAGGGGAGTCGTCCTCCTCACCTTGCAGAACTCATAACAGGTTAGGAGATGACCTGCACAGAGCTGATGTGTTTTCTTAGCCATTGGAAATTCTGACAGCCTTGGTTGCAAAGACCTGATCATAAGGCATAAACTTGAAGAAGGCGTGAGCAAGTAGTAATGGGTCCCTCCTGTTCTCCGTCCTGGAGAACCATTCTTAATTACTAAATTTATTTTAAATGGAATTGGCTGTGCCTCTGTTGCTAACCCCACCAGCTTCCCAGGTCCCTAGACAGAGCCGCTATCGCTGTAGCCTCCTAGAAAGCTGCACTTTTGTAGGCTACGTGAGCCTCGGGCACAAACCATAATGCTCCAGCCTCCCCCTGTAACTCCTTTCTTCCGTCCCTCTGGAAACTTGCTATTTGGATTCTTTAGGGGCACATGGAAGTTTTCTCTTCAAGGAGACATTTTTATCAAAGTTATAAACTCTCTACCAAGAAACGAGGCAGCTCACACGTGTACAGCTTGGTGAATTACCACAAAGTGAGTAAGCCTGTGAACTCAGCAGCTGGGTCAAGAAACTGGACATTCTCCATGCCACAGAGCCGAGGCGGCAACGCACTTCCTGCTCCTCTCCTGCCTCGGCCGTGAATACCGGAGCTGAAGGAAGGGAAGCCGGAGTCTCCTCTCCAGCCGAGCCCACACCGCTCCTCCCCTGGGTTTCTCCCAGGACACCGCCCGCGGGAGCAGAGCTGTGCTCCTGCAGTAGACAGTTTTTCTCCAAAAGAAGGACGGCTGAGGAGCAGAGGGACTAGCAGCACTACGTGAACCTCAAGTCTCCCCCAGTCGCGAAATTACACTTGCCTTCAGAAGCCAGGAAATAGGCTGAGACTAGGGAGTTGCCGGGGAAGCCCTGTCCCTCGGGCTCCGTGGTGGCAGAGCCTCTCCCTGTCCCCCATCGTCTCACTGGCGCGTTCTCTCTCCTTGCAGAGTACTTCCAGTCCCAGCTCTTATCATTCTCCCCCAACCTGGATTACCACAACCCTGACATTCCCGAGTGGAGGCTGGACATCGGCAGTGTCATCAAGAGAGCGCTGGTTAAAGTAAGTTGGCGCCAAGGAATGTACCAGACGGCGCAAACAGCGATACTTTCTGAATAAGTTAAACCACATTTTTCCAGATAAATAAGGACTTTTTTTCCTCTGTGAAAAGAGGAAGAAAAGAAGAATGGAGGGAGTGAGGGAAGAGAGGGAAGGAAAGGAGGGAGGGATAAAAGTCCAGTCCAGTGTTTAAAGAAGGAAATTGGCCTGTTACTTATTCTAAGTATTTCTGAGACAGGAACTTAATTGCTTTAATGGTCTAACGGATGGGCTAATATGCACTCAGCTGCCTGGTCACCTGTGAATAACCAGGTAGACTCCCTGGACCACCGTTGGACACACGTGGTGTTCTAGAGTTTCAGGCCAGGAAACAGATAGGGGATGAGCTGAAAGTCAGATTTGCGTAAGAGAAAGTAAAAAAAAAGTTCTGTTAACCTTCTCGGAGCTACATAATACAATAGAATTATACAACACATTCAATGGAAATGTAAAAATGAGTCTAACGTGCAGCAAGTTCTACCTTAGAGGCATGGCCAGTGTGTCCAATGAACTGAGAAAAAGTGTGATTTTCAGGAAGGGCCTGGCACAAATTTGCAATTCATAAATACTTACTGAAGTACTGGAGGGATTTTGGAGGGTGCTCTTTGAACTGTGTCTTTTTTTTTTTTTTTTTTTTTTTTTTTTTTTTGGTACCAGAGATCGAACTTGGGTCCTTGTGCTTGTGCAGGCGGTGGAACCACTGAGCTAAATCCCTGGCCCATGAACTGTGTCTTAAAGGATATATGTCCCTTACCAAAGAGAAGACAGTCTTTCAGGTAGAGCAGATGCAGGCCCATGCAGCACTGGAAGAGTCCGCGTTTGGGAAATGCCACGAGTTTGGTGCAGCTCATCTGTACCTTCTCAGAATCAGCATGGCTCAGGTTGTGCTAGGATGGTTGGGCCAGAAGGCGAAGGGTCTGCAAAGCCAAATAGTGCTGGCTGCCTATTCTGAAGCACTTTACTTCAGTAAGGAAATGCCGGGGACAGATTTATACTTCAAGCACCAATCCTGATGGCAATTCCTACCAGGGGAAAACTGCTGAGAGTTGTGGGGGGCACCAAGGATGGGACCCCTGCAGTTAGCGAGATCAGGCATAGTGAGATCCCTGGGGAGCAGAGTCAAAGACAGTAAGAAGTCAGGCACTGGGATTAGTCATTAATGAACCTATGAGGGAGAGATGAAGGGCAAAGATTCCTGATTGCCATCGTGGGTGGAACAGAGCCCTTCCATGAGCCCAGGTGCGGACCGCGCGGTAGAGACGGTGTGGTGAGGGACAGTGATGGCTTGGTATTTGATGATCTCGGAGAACATGAGAAATGAGTGGGTAAAGATGATCAGGGGAGGGGAAATAGGGACTTCACATCAAGCAGCAGACCGTGCCAGAGGCTCAGAGTGGAGAGCCGAGGCTGTGGACATCTCCGGCTCCCCAGGGAGACTCAAGAGTGATACTGTTCCCCAGGCAGTGCTTAAGGCCCAGGGAAAGGCATGGAGGAGGAGCTGACACAGAGGAAGTAGAAACAAATTCACCCCTGTAAATACTACCCGCGAGAGCAACTTTAAATCCTTGGATGAAAAGGTTGCTCATAGAAGGCGAAACTGAGAATGCAATGTGTTCCACCTCGGTCTGTTCAAGAGATCACAGAATTTATGTCCGTAATTCTGAAAGCTGCATGGAAGATGGGGCGCTGGCAGAGTGCATGTCGTGACTCCCAGGGGATATTTCTCACCATGTCTTCCAGCGGGGGAAAGAGGAAGAGGCAGCTCTTTGGGGCCTTTTAAAAAGGGCACTAATCCCGTCTCTAAGGGCTCCACCTGCAGGGTTTCATCACTTGCCACACACCCAGCTCCTAATACCATCATGTTCATGATTAAGCCTCAAACATAAGAACTGTAGGAGGGACCCAGATACTCAGATCACAGCATGTCTTTGACTGTAGCATCCAGAGTTGTGCTGTGTTTTCCATGGTTGCAGGTATTAAAACTCATTACCTCTTCAAGAAGCAGTTGGGTTATTATAACACTACTAGTGGTAAATATTAATGGCCATGTCCACTGTGGCCGAGCCTTGAATCTCTGAGGCATATCACAGGCACATTTCTCTGGACAGGATTATGGCCTGGGGCTGCACAGCTCCAGGGTGGCTCCCTCTTCCTTGACTGCCAGTCCCTGAGTGTTTGGGGATACCTGGGTCCCCTCAGCCCAGGCTCTGGGGCTTGTCCCCTCCTTTGGATCAGCGACCTTCAAAAGACAGGCGGGGAAAATACGCAGAAGGAAAACTCGTTTCATTCCCACTCAGGTTTTGTTTGAGAGTTTGTCTTCAGACAGAAGCAAACTGTTGTTTTTATCTCAAAAGCAGTGGAATCCCTTTTACCGAACACCCAGGAATGAAATATCTCCCTCATAATCTCGCTTCTTAACAGCTGTTAGTGTTTGGATGTTTCTTGGTATAAGCTTATATTTTTAATAGGTTGCAGCCCAAAGAATTTCAGGAACTAGATCTGAATGCAGCCCTCCCCCATGCTTTTCTGTGCTGCAGCTACAGGAACATTCTGCCAGGTGATTCTACTTGGCTTAATATGCGTTTGAATACTGGAATTTTCCCTATTTACTTACTATTCTAAATAACATTGTGTTTTTCCTGCATATGGCTTTTCCTATATTGTGGATCACGTCTTTAGGGCTATCTAGCCACGTTACAGTGACCGAATGAAGGTCGTGACTGTTTTTATGGCCTTGAAGTAAGTCTTGTGGAAAAGAAATTAGTGATATGTGTCAATTTTTAGTGCTGCCAACAACAAACGGGGGAAACTCCTTGCTGCAGCTGTGCTAATATTAGCCACTAAACTTTAAAAAAACCTGCTTTCATAAGTGAAAACAAGTGCTGTGCTATTTTTTAAATTTGCATTTCTCCATGTTTGTTTGTAATTGCTTACTCCTCATTCGCAGCCAGTCTGTTCCTATTTGAACCAGAAACTCTCATCCTCTTAGTATAGGAAGGTGGGAAATACGGAACTTTTGCAGATACTCCTGGCAAATAGTGTTTAGAAAATCATTTGCAGCACCATTTGAGTTTTAGTAAAAATATATCTGAAAGTACAGGAAAGGGTGAAACTAATCATTCTTTACCCAGCTGTTCTAGGGGAGGACAGAAAGGAAGCTTGGATGTGCCTGAAATGCTGAACGGAAGCCTCCTGCGAGCCCACAGCTGTGCAGCGTCCGACCTGGGGAAGACGGAAGTGCGCAGTCCTGCCCAGGGCCTCACGCGTCCCCCTAAATACCTTACAGGTGACCAGCGTCCCTGAAGATCAGATCCTTGTGGCCGTGTTCCCTGGCCTCCCCACCTCTGCAGAGCTGTTCATCCTTCCACCCAAGAACTTGACGGAGAGGAGGAAAGGCCACGAGGGGGACCTGGAACAGGTAGGTGGAGAAGGCCAGGCGAGGGCACTGCCTGCGCCCCTTGCTCGGTTGTTTCCAGCTAACCAGCTCTCTTCCCTGGGCCCCCAGCCTAGGGCTCTGCTCAACACCCAGGCTTCTGAGAGCAGCCAGCCTCACATGAAATAAGTTCTAGTGGAAACCCTGGGAGCATTCAGCCCCGCGCAGAGGCCTAGCACCTGGCTTCACTCGCTGTAATGGTTGGCGCCCCTGACCCTTGCTCTTGTCCTCCTCCCAGTGGATCCTCCTGGGGTGGCAGAGAGAGAAGGAGAGGGAGAGGCACCTCATGTACTTCCTGTCTTTCATCGGAACTGGGTCTAGAGATCCTGAGCAATTTAAATTCTGCTTCTGGACAGAAAATGAAGTTTGTAAATAAGGGATGGCTCGCCTCACCTTGCTTTGACTGAAGGAGCAGTATTCCCAAAAGGGACTGTGCCTCACGGTCCTTACCAGCTGGCCATGCAGCCCCTCCGATCTGTGGTCCAGGAAGCACTGGAGGTGGCCTGTGCCCTGTGCCTCCTCTGCTGCTCCACCAGGGCCCACTGGCCGCATCCATGTCACATGGACCTGCCTTCCTGGGAGCTCAGTCAGGCGAGCAGAAACTTAGTGTGGCTGAGGCTGCTTGGAACCGGTGTCAGTTACACGTGCTGTTCCTGGATGGCCCCATCATCTCAGGACTCTGTGTCCCCTTTGTGCTCCCCTGGCCTGGCGGTCACCCCATCCGTGGTCCTCCATCGAGGCGCGGCTGCTCCACTCCCTCTGTCTGGGATAAGAGGTGGTTTCTCTGCAGGGTCGCAGGATCGCACGTGAGGCTGGCCAGAAATAGAGTCATCCTCTCAGTGCACGCGTCATTCTACGAGGCCTCTTTTTCCGAAATAGCAAGCCGCATGTGTGAACTATATTTGGAAGCCACAATATCCATCCATTTAGATAAATAGGTAATTACGGTGATGAATAGCAGCTGTGATATTAAGGCGCGTACATCGAGATAAGAGTTAGGGACAACAGCCTCAGTCTGCCTCAGCTTTCATGTGGGAATTACAGAGTGATTAAATCGATGTTATGTGTTCTGAGGCTTGCTGGGGAAAAGCAAAGAGGAAAAATTATCCCATGAAAAGGAAGCAGCTTCTGCTTTGATGTTTGCCTCCCATTGTGTCTAAGATAAAAAATGCAGAGCAATTGGTTGTGCCTGTACGTGCCTGCTTTGATCCCGGCAGGGGACTCTGCACCCTGTGAGTGTTGCTTGATCAGATTAAAGAGCTAATGATGGGTTCAATTTCTTTCACTGGAACCCACAACAGGTCTTGAATTATATAAAGGCGTGGAGGAAAGTCCGCTGAGCTGGGAGTGGAATGACATGGTCATGTCTGCTAGAGCTCTCATTTGTTGGGTGACTGGATACACCTCCTCTGCTCTCCAGTGTAAGAAGACGACATCAGGCACCTCCTTGGTTTCCCAGGGTTCTGGGGGCTGTGAGAACTGAAGTGATATCCCCAGTTGTGTCCCAATATTTTGTCCTTGATTGACTATGGTCACTTATATTTTTTTTTGCAATTGACACGTGAGGGAGAACCACTACCCGCCATGTCCTCCCACGCAGCCTCTTTCTTGTCTTCCAGATCGTAGAGACCTTGTTTAATGCTCTAAACCAAAATTTGGTCCAGTTCGAGCTGAAGCCAGGGGTCCAGGTCATTGTGTATGTCACACAGCTGACATTAGGTGAGTGCCTAGCAGGGGACATGGGTATGAGGATCAGTTACCCTGCAGGGAAAAGGAAGGAGATGGTCACCATGACTTTTCTACAAATGCCTGTGAGGGGGTGTTTGACAGGAACAGGTGCAGTGAAGCTTGGGGAGGGGAGTTGAACCAAGACTCCGCAGCCATCCTGCAGGGGGAAGGAGATATTCCTGGGAGCGGCTTTGCTACTGAGTCCTGGATCATAGCAGTGGAAACCTGCCATTTCCTTGGTTTACATTTTCTGTGTTTATTTACTGGTTTATTTTATTTGCGACAGTTGGGATTACACTGGGTGGTCTTCGGGCTCTCTTTGACTTTCTGATTCCATGAATCTCAGTTGCAGGTCAGATCAGAAAACCTTCCTCTTCCCGTGCAGTTTCTGCTGTGTGCATCTCAGGAGAAAGCCCAGCTCCAGTCGGTTGTAGTATGAAAGGAACAGATGCGCATGTCCCATTGGGTGCCGCTTCTGGCTGCCTGGGAGAGCCTGCTTCCTAAATGCTTCGTGGTAGCATCCAACTTTTCAGATGTGGAGGTTCCCAGGGTGCCTGCCAGGGTACTTTGCTAGAACGGTGTGGAGAAAGAATCACTGCATTTATGTGCACCCCACAGTTCACAGTGCACTGCCACGATGGCACACAGGGCCACCTGAGCAAAAAGCATTTGAGGCCTTCTGCTTCTGGAAGCTGAACAGCATTTTTCAGTTCATGGCCATCACAGCAGGTTTCCCTGGATGCAGCAGAGGAGTGAATTTTCTCTTAAAAGCTGTGGTCAAGCACACTTCTCATGCGGGAAGCTAAGCTGCCTGTGCCCAGATATCAGGCACGGCTGCGGAAGCCCGAGGGAAGAGTAGGCAGCACTGTCCCCCAACTTACTTACCCAGGCCCACGCCAGCTCCAGAGTGAACACTTCTCTCCTCCTCCGCAGCCCCGCTCGTGGATGCCAGTGCGGGACACAGCAGCTCAGCCGTGCTCATGCTCCTGTCCGTGGTGTTCGTGGGCCTGGCCGTGTTTCTGGTCTACAAGTTCAAAAGGTACGTGCCGCATTACTCTGGGTGTGTCCGGGGCGAGGAGGGCCGCTATGGGCCATTCTTTGCGCACCGGCGTTCCCAGACACATCTCGAGAGCAGGGTCTTGCACACCTGACAGCCCTGGTCAGCACCAGGGAAATGCAGGAATCAAGGGCATGAACACTCTGACCTCAGTTCAGTGTGTCAGGATGCTAAGTAAGAACGTGAGCACGCCCCGTGACTTCTGTCTATCCTCTAGAGCAGTGTAAGTGGGTGTCAGCTGTCACGCAGATTTCCAAAGTACAGTCTCAGGTACTCAGGAGATATGTTAAGCCACTCGGGTGGGTACATTAACAGAAGAAAATGGTCCTGAATCAACACCCGTGTGGTAGCTGTGGGGTAGCTCTGGTCAGTGTTTCTAATGAACACTGATAAGGAAAAATCAAACTCCACGTGAATTTAGAAGTTTTTATTGAACACCACAGAGGGATGATACGACAAGATACTTACTAAAGACATGAAATTCCAAGTATATGGGCACATCCCTGTAACTTCAGCCCTCTAGGAGGCTGAGGCAGGTTAGACCCCCACCTGAGCACTTAGATCCTGCCTCAAAATAACTATTAAAAATAAAAAAAAGTCTGCAGATATAGCTCAGTGCAAAGGTCCTGTGTTTAACCCTCAATACTGAAAAAAAAAACTATGAAATTCCAATCAATAGATCTGCACCAATATTCAAATTATGTAATACTTCTCCCAGGCAGTGAACTAGCTAAGAATATGAACTTAGAAATCAGACAGACTCGATTTTAATTTTTTAAGATTGGGCAATTTTATTTGCCTTGCCAAGCCTTAGTTTCCTAATCTGTAAAATAAGTAAAACAAAATCTTTTATAGGTCTTCTGTATGGTTTAAATATAATAACAGCTACAACTGGTACAGGCCAAATAATTGAGAACCTAAAGTACCATAAATAACAAATAAACCAGCAGAGTTGACTATCAAAAATTACTCCAGTGGCACAGAAAAGTGCTCCAGATGCCCGGATAAAGTATGAAATACAGTTAATTATTCGCAGATGAGTTTTAGAAATGGATCTTCGCTCCTAGGCATCTTCCTGGGCCTGAAGTTAATCGCTTTGGAACTCGGGAGAGCCTCCTGGGGAAGGTGCTCATTCTCCCCACACGCCTCCTCTCCTGTGGCTTCCCTCCAGTGGCTCTCAGCTGCTTACAAAGACACTTTTGCTCTTTATACCTCTCAGTGTTGGCCACAAGGGCGGGGATTTTCCAGCACCCTCCCATGCCCACTACAGGGATAGAACGAGTTTACGTTGATAGTCAACTTGTCAACTTACGAACACGTGTGAGTGAGTTCATGTCCCTTTGGCCTGAGAAGGATCAACGTGCCCCTCTTCTCTTTGAAGAGAGGGAAAAGCTTTCCGTTGCAACCAGAAAAGTTTCAATATGCAGAAACAAGAGTTTGTTATGGCATCACCCATTATGGATGCAATGTTATTTCATGCCCGAAGACTTGCACTTATCCAAGGGTTTGACTGTGGAGAAGCCTGGTGATTGCTGGGGTGTGAACCGGATTGGTTGCCTCTGGCACCAAGAACGTCATGGTCAGTGAGGGCAAAGACCAGTGGAATCCCTGGAGAGCAGCATGTGTGTCTGTCACGCATCTCCAGGCGAAAATGTGACTTATGCTGAGACACACAGAGCTTCTTCTCTGTTAGGAACAATGCTAAACTCCGTGGACAATCAACTTCCTATGGCAGGCTCCCCTAAATATGTTCTGTTTCATACGTGGTTCCGTACCAGGTAATGATACCCTAGAACCATTGTGCCCAGGCAGTTCCAGTACGAGCCAGCCCTCTCTGTGCCTCCGAGAGCCAATCACACAGCAAAGGCTACAGGGCACAGATGTCAGTCAGACCAGGTAAACAGTGGAATCAGACACACGTGACCGGTCATCAGTAAAACCTGACTTTTGGGCCTCCCAATGCTCAGGACATTTGGTTGAGATTCTGTTGCACTCTTTTATGTCTTGGGTCTTTTTCCTTCCCCTTCATGTAGAAGCCCAGTGGGTCATACTGAGCATGCCTGACTTGCATACAAGTGAGGGGAACATAACTGAGTATTTTTTGCTTCTTTTATTACTGTTCCAGAGAACTTTCTGCTATGATGAAAAATCTCCATAACCTGTTCTAGCCACTGGTATGACTGCGAAACTGAATTTCTTATTAACTTTATCCGTATGTTGTAGGCATTCATTATGCTCACATTCATCACGGGGAATCTGTACCTTTGCATAATGTATCTTAGTTCTTGCCTTTTCCCATTGCCCTTCCTTCCCTTTCACCCCTCCCCCCTCCCTGTTTACAGGAGCTTGGTTTCCTTTTTTTTTGTTTGTTTGTTTGTTTTTGGTACCCGGGATTGAACTCAGGTCCTTGCGCTTGCAAGGCAGGCCACCGAACCGCTGAGCTAAATCCCCGGCCCTCGGTTTCCATTTTTTCCTTCTTTTCTCATATTTTTTCCTTCTCTTCTTTCCCTTCCTCCACCCCCCTACTTCCTCTTTTCCTTTAAACCTCTTCTTCCTATTTCACACTATCTGTTATACATTTTGGTCCTCATTTACACTGTCTGGAGAAACTGAATATTTAATTCTGAGTTAATTAATTAAAGTTGAAGCAGCTGCACCTGGGTGGTAAGCACTGCTGCATAGCACTGTGTGCGTTAGTGATGGAGAAACTTTTAGAGACGCGTGCCCACACTGCAGGCAGAACCCACGTACTTATCATAGAGTGCCAGCACTGCAGTTAAACTTGAATCGTGAGGTATTGGTCTAGAAAAACAACACATACATTAACATCTTTTGTCTTAAAAGGAAAACAACACGTGAACCATAGTTTCACCACTGCTGATCTAGGTGAGGGCAGTTCTGTTTTTGTTTCAGATCGTTGGCTACGCTGAGCTCCCAGAATGAAACCTTCCACTCTGTAATCATCATCGTTGACAAAGAGAAACATTCACTTGGTGAACACTTACTGAGCACCAACTGTGTACAAGGCACTAGAAACCACTTGCTGCCCCGAGTGTTCTAGTGGGAGGAGAGTTACCATGACCCCAAACCTGCTCTGAGTACTGTCGCTGGCCCCTGGGCTTCCACTTTGCTCTTAACTGGTGACTGCCATTTTCTCACATCTCGGCAACATAATTAAAATCATTGTGAGACGGTTTTATTGGCTGAAAACTGCCCAACAAGTCCTTTCTTTCTCTAACTGTATGTTCTCTCTTTCTGGATAACTAAGCAAGCATTTGAACTTTTATATTTTTTTCATAGTTCAAAATCTCACTTGCTTCCAGTCTTCCCACATTCTTCATGGCTGAAGCCAGTACATGTTGTTGTTTGTTGTTTGTTTGCTTTTCTGCGGGACTTGACTTTATCCACCTTTCTCCTCGAAGCCTGCATGAATGTGTGGCCTAAGATAGACCTCTTGATCTCTTCCTGCAAGTGGGGTTCTGACCTGACTTACAGCCTCAACAGTCCTACAAATAGATGTGTTAAGACATGAAATGCACCTTGCCAGCCTTTGACAATGCTGCAAATTGTGATATAAATTTCAGGCCCTTCCAGTTCCCTTTTTAAAAAAGACAAAAATGTGCCTGTTTTGCCATGTGTTTTTAAGAGATTGCAATAAAGCGAGCAATCATTGTCAGGGCTAATTCTGCTAACTCGTCACAGGTGTCTTTAGGCAAGCAGGAGGGGAGGCCATGACTGGTCACAGCTCTGAAGCACACAGCCTGCATGACCAAGAATTGTTTGACTGTTCCCAGTGCCTCATAAATATTCCAGTTGATCCCAGCATTTGTGAGGAATGTCTACTTTTATGATTAGAAGGAATCTAAGGCGTAGGCTGCATTTCTATTTAGATAAGAAGAAAGTAAGGGCTAGCATGAATGTTTAATTCTGATCATTTATAGAGGCTGCCATTTGCTGCCTCACATAAATTCTGTTAATCTAAGGCCTAATGAGTTACATTAAACTGGTTTAAACCAGTAGGAGTCATGCGTAATATATGGGAAACAAATATCAAAAGCATGAAAGATGAATCTAAAATAAATTTGGCAACTACTCATGTTTCAGACATTTTCAGAGTTTTCCTTCAGTCAGCCTCATGAAACACTCACATGTTTGCTTCATTGGATTTTGGAGTGGGGCAGGGAAGGTTGAAGTTGGAAAATACCACTGTGTGGGACAAGAACAGAAGAGATTCTCCTTCATCAGGGCGTGGAATGGTGTGGATTGGGTTGATGTCAGACGCCCCCCCGCTGCTAAGGTTGTCTTCACCATGACCAGCTTTGAAAGTGCTAGGAGTTCAGTCCAGTTTGCCGTCATCTGGTCAGGTGAGAGGAATGCCTGCCGGATGGGATAGTCCAAGATAAAAATGCAATCTTTGAATTGGCGATTAGTTCAAGAAAGTAGAAAGAGCACAGGCTTTGGGTCATTTATTCAGCAACTCTGCAGTGGATATCAGCCATATGCCAAGAACCGTACTGAGTCGAGTAGAAGAGCAGTGAAGAGAGAAAACCCAGACCTGGCCTGTAGTGCTGTGGGAAGAAAGATGCCGGCCACGGTGAGTCCAGAGATGACAGAGATGGTGTGGACAGGACTGCCCGGAAGGGTTTCTCTCGCAACTTTCCTTCTTTTCCACCCAAGCCTGTCTGCCTTCTGTTTCCAGCCTGCTACTTCTGTGTCATGAGCTCCTTCCTTTGATCCTTCACTCAATCCTGGAAGGAAGCTGGTGTCATTCCCATTAAACAGAAGAGGAATTGACTGTCGTGTATTCAAGGGACTCGGCCCAGCATCTTACTCTGAAAACCTGTAATAATGGCTTTGAGTCTCATCTTGGGGACACATCTGAAAAGGGCCCAGCATGAACGGATCAGATTGATGCAACCGCAGTAAAACCTGTCTTTTCACCATGTACAATCTCAAAAGTCTCAAAGTGCCGCTCATTTGGGAGCTTAGTGACAAGTAGATATTTTCAGGGGTTTAGTGAGTAATCAACACTGGTGCCATTTTGTTTATAGTGGCTTATTGTTTACCCCAGGAAATTATATGATCTCAGGGAGCCCTGTGGCCCCCACTGTCCCTGGCTTCTAAGTCCCTGATGACTAGTCAGTCGAATCCTTGGCCTCATGGCCAGCATCTCTGGGTAGCCAGTGCTTTTCCCTGGTATCGGTTCCGCCTCTGAATAATTCTGATTTCCAGAGTTTCTGTTTGCCCTAGTTTAGCATGCCCTGTGATCTTACTCTGATTTTGTTCATACCCTTGTAGGAAAATTCCCTGGATTAACTTCTATGCTCAAGTCCAACATGACAAGGAGCAGGAGATGATCGGGTCGGTGAGCCAAAGTGAAAATGCACCCAAGATCACACTCAGTGACTTCACCGAGCCTGAAGAGCTGATGGACAAGGAGCTGGACACCCGGGTCATCGGTATGTGTGCCTTGTCCCAAGCTCCCCAGTCCTCTGTCCTCCCAACACCTGCTCAGCAGTGGGCATCCCCTATCCCCCAGATGGTACTGGCCTGGAAGGTTGGGGAAATGACCGGCTTTTCCTTCTTTAGAATTCAATCGATTGAATTCAGAATTCAGAAGCCCTGGGGTCACAGTGGGGTGATGAATCAACTGTCTATTATTGTTAACTTGTTTTCTTTTGTTTCTATGAAGCAAAAGGATGATGAGTCCTTATCAGTGGTCCCACGAATGCAGGATCTGACACCTGGTAGCCTTGCTTTGCCACCCTGGTAGCTCTGTGCTGTCTTCATGCCACATACTCGTCAACTGTGAAATGGGACAAATTGGACTCCAGATTCTGTGCAATTCCTGTATAGTATCTGAGAGTTCATTCTAAAACTGTGGTGATAATTAAATGTCACTATGTCTTTTAGCACAGTGCCTTCCAGAAAACCAGTGTTCACTCCTTGCCACCTCTTGCTTTGTTATCAGTAAAGATGACAGTCTACTGTATCCCTGGGTATTATCGTGGGGATGGAATGTGTTCAGCATGCCTGAGATGCACCAGTTTGCTGGCTGGAGTATCCAGCAGCCCTTGTAGGCACCTGCTATAGGGGCTTGGTATTTAGCAGTGCGTGGAACAAAGAGCCCCACCCTCTAGGAACTTAATCCTTTCCTCTCTGTGTCTTCCCTCCCCTGCAGGAGGCATCGCCACCATCGCAAACAGTGAAAGCACAAAGGAGATCCCCAACTGTACTAGTGTTTAATACCAGCAAGCCACGTGCTCAGCCACCTTGCTGACATTTTATTTTTGATGACTTCTATTATTATTATCATTATTATTGTTGTTGTTATTATTATGGAAAAATGAAAATGTCTTTTTTACCATTTGTTTATGAAGGGCCCCCTTATCAACAGCAGGCAGATACTTAGCTTTGGGAGAAAGGGGCATTCTTAGCTGATTAAAATGAGACAAAAAGACTGAGTGACTACACATGTGCTAAGGGCCAAGGGTGCATCTCCCGCCAGCCTCCTTGCTTTACTCTGCATTGGTAGTGTAGACTCTCCTTTTCCTGTTCTGTCTCTATCTCTTTCTATCTCTGTCTCTCTGTCATCTATCTCTCATTTTAAGTGGGGTTGCCTTTTTGTCAACTCCCGCCTCCCCATGCCCTCACCCGAATCCTCATCAGCCCTGTCCTGCCCCTGGCACACACCCATCCAACACTTACCATCTCCCAGTCAGAGCTGCAGGAGGCAGGCTGGTGGCGAGTGCACACAGCCGCAGAAAGCGTGCGCACCTTCCTGAGAGCGGCCCTGCCTCGTGCCTGTCAATAGTGAGACTGCGAATGGCTTACTGTACATAACTACTATGTAAATAGCTTTTTATTTCCTAAGAAATAATTTAATGTTTAGTAAAAAACAAAACAGGAAGAAGAACGATGCCCATGTTGGCTTCGGCACTCACTTCTGAGCTGACCCACCCAGGCCTGCTTGATGTGCTGGGCGGGACACTTGCCAACTGTCTGTCACATTTAACTGTCACCACCCCCCACCCATGTCATTGCTGGTTTCTGCTTCTGTATATACTGGGGGGCGGGGCGGCTTTCTTTGGGGCAGTTGACAGATGAAGGAAGGACCCGTGACATCAGGGTACATGGGAGCCATGTTTGATTTAGCAGAGGCATGCAGAAAGTTGCAGGATGAGGCCCAGAGCGAGATATTTCAAACTGCACCCCAGGTGGGTTGGTGAGGCTTCCTCCCTAAGAGGAGAATTTGAGAATATTCATGAGACTGAAAAGAATTCTTTTACTCTAAGAAGCCAGGCGGTGGATCTAAAGACACGGAAATGTAAAATGCTCGTGGTGAATGATCAGGCTTCCCTGAGCTCAGAAGACCATGTGGGCACAGGATGAGCCCAGGCAGCTACTCCTGGCAAGAGAAGAGTTAGAGAGATTCCAAGGAAGATGGCTTTTGTGGAATCACGAGTCCACACAAACCCTTCAGGCCAAAGGAGTTCGAGCCTTTCCTGATATTAGTCAAACATGATTTTAGCAAAGCTGTGCTAGTTGCCTGTAAGATGTACACAATTTCCTTAAGTCAGATGTCTGCCTTCAGTTCCCTTCAGGTAGTGATTGCCTCTGGGGCGAGTGGCTTTCTAAGCCCACACTGGCTTTTCCAGCACCTCAGCCCCTTCACATAGTTAGCATTCCAGTTCTTTTCAGTAGAGACCTCAAACCCACAGTGAACATTGTTTGTATTATTATTTTCGGAAAGGCCACATTTTGTACCTGCTAGTTTTTGTGGGATGTCATTCGCACTCCTCTTTGTGAGGTAAAGGGGGAATGTGACAGGGAGAGGCTGGCTGCAGCATAACTTAGTATGAAGAGTATTTCTGAAGATCCCGCTTTCCTATTTTAAGGGTTAAATGGAGCAGACAATTGCAATACCTGTACTAAACACTGGAATACAAATGCATGAATCATATCTATATATACAGTATATGTACATATACTGTTCTTGGTTTTATTGTTCCATTTGAATATTTCTACTGTAAAAAAGGCAGTGGTTTTGAAATTGTTGAAAATAAATGTATTTTTGTACATCAAAGCTACATCATGGCTGAGCTTTCTCCACAATTTTCTTTACTTACTGTTCCCATCACACATCACTGTGGAAATGTTGTATGGGGGAGGAACGGCTTCTGATCACAGACACTTTTCTTTGCTCCCAAGTGCTCAGGTTGGCTGTGGCTTGGATGCATTCAGCTGGGGTGGGCCAGGCTATGCTGGGCTGGTCTGAGTGGGTGCAGGCTTCTGTGGTCTGAGTCTGTCCCATGACTCGTCATCATCTGGGACCAGCAGCTACCTGGAAATGTACTGCAGCATTCTAGGTAAGGCCAGTAGAGCACTCTATGCCTTGAAGGCCTTAGCTTAAAAATGACTCTATTCACCTTCACTCATATTCCATTGGCTATAAGAAATGCACCTGGCCAAGTCAACATCGATTGCTAGAGAACGCACTTTCCTTCTCTGGTGGAAGTCACTACTAAATCACAGCAAAAGGGGTGGATAAGTATTCCTGGTGGGTGGCATAGATAAGTGAGAATGAAAATCTAATTTACTGCATCTGTTCTAATTTTACATAGCCCTGAAAAGAGCTTTCATTAGATGACCCACTTGTACCTGTTTCTGAGCTTACTAACAAAATAAACATGGCCAGGACTTTTGAGCAGAACCAGAGACTTTTGGCAACTACAGGGCCTTTGAGTCTGATATCCATTTATTAATCACTTTCTTGTCAATGGGATCAAATACCTGACAGCCACCACTTAAAGGAGGGGAAGTTTAATGTCTCTCAGTTTCAGAAGGGTCAGTCCATGGTCTGTTGGCTCCAGGTCCAAAATGGCATGGTGGAAGGTCCTGGCAAAAGTGCACAGTCTTCCACTTCATTCCCACAGTGACCACCTCTCCAACCAGCCTCGCAGTAGCACATTAACTCAGTACTGGATTGATCCACTGATGACTGTTTCAGCACCATGATCCAGGCACCTCTCAGCCTCACTAAACACGTCAGACTTTAGGGGAAATTGTACATCTGAAGAGTAACAACCAGTTTCCGGTGACTGGCTGAAGTGGAGCTCCAACTCAGGTCTTGAAGATGGAAGCAGTGGAAATGTAGCTAGGAGAGAAAACTAACAGGACACAGGTCTTCCCTTTTTCCTTCTTCCTCCTGCTGTTTCAGGCACTTAAGAGTAGCAGATCTCTTTTGCCCTTTGCTGAGTAAAGGAGCTACCCTTTGGGTAGCTCTTTTCCATATTGGACATATAAAGGAACATTTACTAAGTACCCATAGCAAGGTTGTGAGCTGGATGTGTTTAGTCCTTTCAGGTTTAAAGTATGTGATACAGTTCCAGGGATCCCAGAGACCCAAGAGACCAGGAAGCTTTGGTCAACAATTTGCTTCCATATTTTTGAAATTGGCTAAATATCCTGGAATCGTGTTTTCTGAACTCGAAGATAAAGAATTAAAGGCAGTTTTCTTTTGATTTAGGAAGATGTGTGACTATTAGTATAACTTCATGTGTCATCTTCACCTTTTCAAATTTTTATCTTGCATAAGTTCCTTCTTCAAATATTGAGAATAGCATTTAGGTCTTTCTAAAAGAAGTGGTCTTTTGAGGTCTAATGATTCATAATTCAAAGTGCCTGTACTTCTTCAATGAATTTTTAATTGGGAGCTTCTCAAGTAATGTAAAATGTCCAACATTCCTATCTCAAGAAATTCAAAGTCTGTACTTCAATGGATTTTTAATTGGGAGCTTCTCAAGTAATGTAAAATGTCCAACATTCCTATCTCAAGGCAATGGTGAATTTTTTATGTGTGTAAGTTTTTGCTTCTCTATGGGTCCTGAGTTCTCATATTGATTTTATCTTTGGGTTAGAAAAGTTGCTCCATCGGATCAAGAAGGAAGAAAGCAAAATAAAATGGTATGAATCAACTGGGTCACTGGGGCCAAATTATGGCTATGAATATGCACTGTGTATCCACCACCAGCACAAGTCTAGATTTCCTGGTTTAGATGGAAGCAGAAGACAAAGAATGTGGTTGGTTTTGTAGCTATTTCTATGCAGGGCTCTCAACAGTGAGGAAACTCTTTGTAACAGAATTGTCTTCTCTAAAGCAAGTGCAGAGCTGGTGACTAAGGCTGCCATAGCACTCAGGCTAGAGCCCGAGTGTCAGCTCCATAAGCACATCCTCCCAGGATTCTCACGTGCATAGAAACATGAGGATAATTGCTTCATCTCTCACTGAAATGGCTCTGGAAGAGGAGTTTGGTCTAGTTGCTGCTGATTCCTGTTACCATGGTGCAGGCACCTTAATCTGCAGAGGTGAGATGAGCTTCCAGATTGCTCATTTGCTCACCCAGCAAAAGATGCAGTTTTGAGAATCACCCTGTCATGTTATCTGGAACAAAAACTCTGCAGTGAGGGTCTTATAAAGAATACAAAGTGTGATTACAAAACAGTGAATGTTTAATTTCTGTTTTTAAAATTATTAGAGTAGAAGACACATCGCCATTCTGGAAGTTCTTCTCCAAGAATGTCTTCAGTTACACTAAAGGCAAAGCACGGCTGCCTTAGTGTCCCAAGTCAGTTCAGATCGGGTGAGTAAGGTGGCCGAGAATGTATCGTAATGCTTTATGAGTCTGCATTTTCATTGGATGGCGCTTTGGCAGCAGCATCCACTGTAGTTTTTATCGTACCTTATAAAGACACCAAAGAGGACTTCTGGACCTGCTTCAGAAAGTGGCAAGACCGGTGGGATAAGTGTGTTTGCAGTGAGAGAGTATTTTGAAATGGAATCATGGCCATGTGTCTTTTACTATAATAAATTTTATATAAGTATCATTTTTTTAATCAGTTCTTGTGTTGAGCCAAGAGTTAGAAGATTTCTGACTTTCAGTAAGTAATTCTGGCCACCAGTTCCCTATCTGTAAAAAAGAAACACCTATGGTCTGCCTTTCTGGCTTGTTTTGGTCTCCAGAAATGTGAAAAGCAAAATGTTAGTTCCAAAAGCCCCGAGAACTTGGTAGTGTGGCTAGTACTAGATTTAGCTTCTGTAGATGGACAAAAAACACCTACAGAAGAATGCGAGCTTTTACCGCTGTGCAGCTAGTCACTATCGAGCTACACATTGAAACCATGTCTTTATACTAAGGGTCTGTCCTTTCCACCACGCACTTCCTTAAAAATTTGAAACCAATTGAACTGTAATCTCCCAGTCACTAGGGAGCCTGATGGCTATGCCAATATGGCTTGCATAATGATAACGCCCACCAGAGAGGTTTGAAATGTTACTCCCTTGTTATCCATGCTCATCATTCAGCACCTGGTTGACCTCCTGCCATTGCCCTGCTGACCCGTTGGTTAGCAATGCATGGCCTGATGCCTTGGTTCCCCCAGGACAGAAGTCACGCTGCTCAGCAGACAGTGGCTCACTGTGTAGGGTCATTGCCCTCATTCAGAGGGAAGAGGCCACATTACATATGCAGTGAGACCCCTCATTCGGACACACATCTGCTCCTGTGGAACTCTGTCTACTCCAGTGGTACTGCCAAAGGAGACCAGAGTTAGCCCAGCAATTACTCTCAAACTTCAATGGCATCTTGATATCCCTTAAACTTCAGTTACCTTTTCCTTTACAATTGTGTTGTCCTTTAAAATGTTCTTTCCATCTGTGTTTTGAGACCTTATATCAGGATAAAATATAGGTTCGCTGAGAGGGGAAACATGGGACATATTATTTTTTTAAAAAAACAGACATTAACTCATGTGCAAACTGAAAATCTCAATAAAACTTGGACCTTTTGAATAATCTGAATCTGAGAGGGGCAAATGACATAGGACCCAGTTTTCCTATCTATAAACTGAATATGATGGCATCTGCTTCCCGGCATTGGAACCCAGAGTAACCTGGACAGTTTGAGGAGATGGAAATAATGAGTTGATTGTGAGGAGTGCTAGTCCTGGCACTGTGGCTTTGTCCAGGCAGCACAGTACTGGCTTGCAGGGTAAAAATCAGTTTATTGGTACATTTCAGGTATACAATACAGTTACATTCATCATTGGGATCTTGGACCTTTCCATCACAGATCTTGGTTCTCATTTTCTCCCCTTACCCTGCCCTCCCTTCACCCTCCTCCACCCTCCCCTCTTTACAAAGACTGTTTCAATGTTTTCCTTTTCTTGTGATTTCTTTTCTCTTTTTTCCTTCCCCCACACTTCCCACTTGCCCTACTCCTTTACACATTTTCTTCCTATTTCACATTATCAGTTATACAATGTGAACTTTATTTACACTTTTAGTTTTTCACACCAGAGAAACTATTTGGTATTTACACATGTGTGTCCTATTTATTTCACTTAAGAGTATGGCCTCAATGTGTATCCTCTTAGCTATAAATCTCTCTAGTTTCTCATTCTTGCGAGGAAGGTGGCGGAGCCACTGAGCCAAATCCCCAGCCCTCTGATTTTTCATTATTTCTAGTTTCTCATTCTTTATGGCTGAGTAGTACTCCATTTTGTTTTTAAAAAAAACATACATTTTCTTTACGCAGTCTTCAGTTGATGGGCAACTGGGCTGTTTCCAAGTTTTAGCTATTACAAACTGTGCCGCTAAAAACACGGGTGAGCATATATTGCTGTGGTATGATTCTTTTAATTCTTTTGGGAAGATAGATACCCAGCAAAGAAATAGCTGGATTAAATGGGACTTCTAATCTTAGTTGTTTGAGGAATCTCCATACTGATTTCCACAGTGCTTGTTGCATATTTTTCTTAATTTAACTGATCTAACTTCGCTTGAACTGTAAGATGGTCTCTTCTCATTACTGCTGCCAGGATTGTGTGAAACTTTAAAGACTGGACCCTCTGTCATAAAGCCTGCTCAGCCTTACTGTGTGAAACTGTCCTGAAGGCAGCCATGCTAATGCCTGGGCAGACAGCTTGGCCTTGCCCGCTCACATGTCTAGACTTGGGCACTTGTGACATAGC